TATGAAACTCCCAGTTGAGAGCCAGGATTTCAGAAAAATGTGCCTGCATTTGCACACCTAAATTGCCCTGTTGTATATGCAAATGACAAATGGACATCTATCTATTGGGCTTGCATGGGCAATCTTAACATTTGTGTGTCTTTCTGCATTTAATTGCATGTGCACTTTCCTGAAAATGACTTAAAATTATTGACAGAAGAAATTAATGGAATTTCCTTCAACTTAGTTAAATTAAAGTAAAATCAAGAAGTCCAGTTTAATTGATAGCTCTCATGGGTTATGCGAAATCTGTTGGCACAGCCATTGGTTATATCATGTGTGTAAACAGTTTCTTAGAACTCTGTCAGGAAATGCTTGTTTTTGGTCATGCAGGATTTTTCTTTAATTGTTGTAGATCATGAAAAATGTAATCAGATTACAGACTGCTATAGCTGTACAGCAAATACAAATAACTGTCAATGGTGCACTGACCAGTGTATCCTAAAGCATAACAACTGCACAGAAGATCAGGTAAAGGTGTTTAAATATCACTCTAAAAATGTTAATCTCGCTATGAAGTTCCAAATGTCAGGAAAACTAATCACAATTAGTGTCACAATTACCTCTATGTGTTTCTGCTGTGAAAGTAACTGTAACTACAAACATCTGAATTTCTTGAGGAGGTTCAGTGGCTTTTGGATCATATTATACTTCTCACTACTTAGATAGCTGTATCCTAAAGAGACAATGGGAAGGGGCAAGGAAAGATGAGGGCATCAGTATGATTTATTTGATAAGGCATATGCACATCTTGATAATTCCATTCATAAGGTCAAAAAACCCTTGATTCCCTCCTCACATCTTATAAGCAAGATGGCACAATTAATTTAAGAGGGACTTGAGCATGGTGAGAGAGGTGGCTTAGCATGCAGATTTGGGGAAGGAATTCTGAACATGATACATCTTTTGAAAATATTGGTCCTTCTATAGACTTAATTTGTTGCCTCTTCTACAGAATTATAGTGGTGGTCTTCGTGAGTGTGAATAGACATGTAAGAAAAAAAGTTTAAACATGCCGTGTGTTTTAGGTACCCATTACTGAATATGATAAATGCCCCAAGGATAACCCTGCATATTATTGTAACAAAAAGACAAGTTGTAAAAGCTGTGCCATGGATCAGAACTGTCAGTGGGAGCCCAGGAATCAAGAGTGCATAGCTTTACCTGGTACGTATATATTGTATTTAAAAACAAATACTAAATCCGTAAATCCAAAAAATTCTTTATTTTTCCTCCTCAAAATCTATGGTATGTTTTTAAGATTACGGTGAGGTAAGGACTGTTCTTTGTAAGGAACAATTAATTTTATGTATATGTTAATGTTATGTGAGATTTGCTTTGAAATCCAACTGAAATCTTAGACTGGCATTTCTGGTCTGTTCATTCCAAATTAGATATGAAGCTTCGTATTATTAATATTTATTATAAGTGGTAATTAGGGCTGTCAAATGATTAAAAAAATTGCAATTAATTGCAAGATTTAAAAAAAAGTTGCGATTAATCAGTTTTAACCGCACTGTTAAACAATAGAACACCAATTTAAATGTATTAAAGCTATTTTTTGACTTTTTTCTACTTTTTCAAATATATTTATTTCATTTACAATACAGAGTACAAAGTATACAATGCTCACTTTATATTATTATTTTTATTACGAATATTTGTACTGTAAAAAAGAGATACAAAAGAAATATTTTTTAGTTCACCTCATACAAGTACTGTACTGCAATCTCTTTATTGTGAAAACGCAACTTACAAATGTAGACTTTTTTTTTTTAATGTAACTGCACTCAAAACCAAAGCAATGTAAAACTTTGGAGCCTACAAGTCCAAGCATGAAGGGGCGTACAAATGTTTAGCGTATCTGGCCCGTAAATACCTTGCAACACTTACAACAGTGCCAGGCAAATGCCTGTTCTTACTTTCAGGTGACGTAAATAAGAAGTGGGCAGCATTGTCTCCCGTAAATGTAAACAAACTTGTTTGTCTTAGCGATTGGCTGAACAAGCAGTAGGACTGAATGGACTTGTATGAGGTTTTGTTTATCTTTTTTACAGTGCAAATATTTGTAATAAAAATAATAATTTAAAGTGAGCACTGTACACTTTGTATTCCGTCTTGTAATTGAAATCAATATATTTGAAAACGTAGAAAAACATCCACAATATTTATAATAAATTTAAATTTGTATTTTATGATTTTTTAACAGTGCGATTAAAACTGCGATTAATCGTGACAATTTTTTTATCTAGTTAATTTGTTTTGCATTAATCACATGCATTAATTGTGATTAATTGTCCGCCCTAGCAATAGTAATGTAGTGGATGAAGAGATTGTACTTAAGCTCCAAGCAAAATATTTCAGATCTGCTTTTGTCCCTCTTTTATCTATTTCTTTATTTATGTAATTGTTTCAAAAGATTTTATATCCCAGTAAGACCCAAATTTAATCAAGGTTAATTTAATTATCAAAAACTGTGTGCTTTCCCATGATCTGTTGTCTAATGTGAGATTGGTACACCTCTACCCTGATATAACGCTGTCCTCGGGAGCCAAAAAATCTTACCGTGATATAGGTGAAACCATGTTATATTGAACTTGCTTTTATCGGCCAGAGCACGCAGCCCTGCCCCCCTGGAGTGCTGCTTTACTGTGTAATATCCGAATTCATGTTATATTGGATTGCGTTACATCGGGGTAGAGGTGTACTGTATTATTCATTTGGGAATCAAGAGCATGTTATAAAATACTAAATACTATTATTTTTCCTAGTACTTCTGTATCCCGAATATTCCTACAGCTGGATGAAGTAGAGCAATGAGTATACTGCCTTGAATTAATACTTTATTTATCAAAAAATCTGAAAGAGAAATGTTTCTTCCCTCCCACCTCCAAAATTGCCAGCTTTCATAATTTCATTATTTTCTCAATGTTTGGCATTTTTCTTTAGTCCTAAGCGCTTGGAGTCATGTGACAAGCAAAGGCTTTTATTTAAAACAAAATAAGTTTCTAGCCCATATTGTTATAGAGAGAGGCTTGAAAGCGTGACCTGAATGCACCCTAAAAATTTCTAGAACCGAAAGCAGTTAAAGCCCCAAATGGATTTGTTTTTATTTAATAATTTTAAAGCCAATTTCATGATGGGGTGGGGTGTGTGTGTGTGTGGGGGGGGGGTAAATCTAACTCAAAATTTAATTCTTGGGATTGGCAGTACTGCACCCTACCTCCTGCTTTGGCTGTTTCCGAGGGCAGGGGCACATCTCCTCTTCTACTAGAATTTAGTAGTTGAATATTTAATTTCTTTCAGTTGACAAAAATATTAAAAAGGTGCATTTGACATAAATTAGAGACAAATATCCAACTAAAACTAGTAGCTAACCTGCATACCAAACAAAACTCCACTCCTGCCAAAAGTTCGGTTTCCATCAAAGCTACTCCTTCTTCAAAAGCCTTTGTTAATAGATGTGCCTTTTACCATGGCAGGAAGGTTGGTGAACCGAGCTCTTTTGGACTAAGGCTCCAGTGCTGAGGGCCCCTTCTGGAGGACATTCACCATCTCCAAGTGATGTTTTTTGACTAGGGGGAGAAAGGTGTTGTGTATCATTAATTGGTTTCACTTTTTCATAGAAAATATCTGTGGAGCAAACTGGCATTTGGTTGGCAACTCGTGTTTGAAAATCAATAGCACAAAAGAGAGCTATGACAATGCTAAATTGGCATGCAGAACTCACAATGCTCTACTGGCATCTCTCACAACCCAGAAGAAGGTGGAATTTCTTCTAAAGGAGCTGCAGAGAATGCAGTCTTTGGTGAGTGTTACTCTTGAATGCCATGTGAGTAGTAGAGCGCTGAATATGGAAGAGTACTTACTGTGGTACTGTGTGTTTTGTATCAAAATATGCTCCATAACTCAGAGGACTGATTTTCTTTTTAAATTCAACATATTCCATGGCAGCTTTGCAGTGAAATAGTAAAGAATGTAAATGTGTAACATAAACATGCAGGGTGCCTCAAGGATATCATTGCATAATAAAATCACACACACACTTCTGATTTGGGATACATGACTGCAACATGAAGGTGAGTAGTTCTCATGTGAACTGCACATGGGACCCTAGACTGTAAATAAAGGTTCCATTGCGGCACCATATATACTTAGTGTAAAGCGCTTAAATTGTTGTTCTGTTCTGAAAAGTGGTTTGATACTCAACAGATCCATGTGAAATATTCAGTTAAATCTGCTCTAGTGACAAACATTTTTCCCTGTTAACGTTACAGAGCCAACACAACTAATAAAATGATTTAGAATTTATTACGACTTGCACATCAATAGAATTGACTTTCTAATCAATTAAACTTGTACAAAGACATGGATGGCGGGGTTGCGTAAGTGTTGCTAAGGTTGTAGTGGTGGTCCACGGATGTAATTGAGGTCCTAATTTGGCTTGCAGAACCATTTTTATTGATGGTACAGAAGAAGAACTTATATAAGCTCTCAGAGCCAAGACTGCGCAGGGCTAGCAGTCAGTGACATTAATTTTTTATTGGTAAATGGAAAAAATGGTGAACAGAAAGAAATGAGGTAATAAACATGGAACGTCATATTATGTTGTTACTTTTCAGAGCAGAAACATACTTTATACGTAGAACACAAATATCTAAAGAAAAACTGAATTGTTAAATTGAAACAAGAACATTTTCCTTCTTCCCACTTTTGCTCCCTCTGGGATCTTAAAATGAAACAGTTCAACAGTTATAAGACACCAGGGTGTTCCATTTTTATCAACCCTATATGAGGTACTTTCTATACAAGATTACACATTAAAATAATCATTTGTGAGGCAAGGGGGAGAAACATAGAATATTGTAAAAGTACATGGGTTTTCAAAACTCCAGGCTTTTAGATACCATGGTGATGAGTGCTGTATAAATTGATGAACTTGATGGCCAGTCCCATAAGCACTCTAACATTTGAACTTCTTTTAGAAAGGATGTCGTTCACTTACCTCTGGTTACTTTATTCTTAGAGAGTTGGTAATGGTGAGGGTCTTAGAAAAAACTGTGCAGATTTTTAAGGAATCTTTTGGTTTTAGTTTATATTTGTATGTTTTATTGTTTTAGCATGTTTTGTAATTTCTAAAAATAGCTTTGGTAGAAAGCTACACTGCATTTGGTATTTGAACTCTGCCTTTCAATGATGTGCTGCTTTCACTCTGGTAATGACTTTCTGAGGGGGAGTGCTCACTGATTAAGAGTCCAGTGATTGCAGCTTGTCTGTTCATTTGTAGTTCCTCTGAAAAAATGTGGCCTGATTTTTTTCAGAGGTGCTGAGTACCCACAGTGCTTCAGTAAGTGTTGCAGGTTTAAGTTAATCGAAGATAAAATGTTTTGAAGTAGGTGGATTACTTTGTGGGCTGCCCAATGATAGTAACTGTTTTCATTGCTTAGATAAACTATTTGTAGCTGTTTTCTTTAAGTCACCATTACGTTCTGCATAACAATAACCCCAGAAAACTGCTGTTTCTATTTCTCTCCTTTTACAGTACACTCATGAGCATCTAAGGCCAACTCTTTTTGTTAATTTCAGAATTGTTCAGGTTTAAAATGTATTAAAATGTTCTGCTTCCTCTCTAGTTCTTACCTTTTTTCAGCTATTTAAAAACTGTGTGTGGAGTGGTTTGGGAGATGGGAGGGAGCATGTTTTAAATTAGATAAATGAGGCACGTGCCTGAAGGATGTTAATTCTCCAGTTGATGTGCTCTGTAAGTCTAGTGGGACTGAGAAAACAGTATGCCCTTAATTAATGTTTGCACTTCCAAATCTGCTAGAGTGGTTCATACACATTGCAAGACGTTAGTGTTTTTTATTTATTTATTTATTTATTTTAAAGTCCTGCTTCTTAACTATGTGAAGTGGTAAAATTGTGGTGTTCATTCAACTGAACATTTATTTTATCTCTAGCCCAAAACTTTGACCCCATGGGTTGGACTGCGGAAGATCAATGTGTCGTACTGGTGCTGGGAAGACATGTCTCCGTTTACAAACACCTTGCTCCAGTGGCTGCCTGGGGAACCAAGTGATGCTGGATTTTGTGGATATTTAGCTGAGCCTTACCAGCAGGGATTGAAGGCCGCAACATGTATCAACCACGTTAATGGCAGTATCTGTGAAAGGCCTGGTAAATATGCTGCTGATGAATGGTTTTTTTTACGGGGAAGTATTTTATTGCCTAAGTAATACAAATAATATCCCCCCCCCCAGTTAAATTTTGAATGTTTGCATCATTCAGTAACCAAACAGACCAGTTTGAACAATAGTTTTGTTTAGTTATTCTGTACAAAAATCAGGCATTTAAAAAACAGCAGAAGTACAATGAGACTGAGCAATAATTAGCTTTAACTCTGTCTTCCAATTGTATATTTGTATGTGACATTCAGGTTAATTTTGGTATGGAACAATCTTCTTACTAAAAAATAAAAACTATTCTCTACCTGAATTTTTTTGTACACGTTGTCTAGCCAGAGGATAAATTTTTTTTTTTTTTTGAAGTTTAAAGTTAATTGAGCAAAACACTTTGGAAATATGAGAGTTTTGAAAAAACAAAACAAAAAGAAAACTAGATAAATTCATTGAGTTTAAGTCCATTAATAGCTATTAGCCAGGATGGGTAAGGAATGGTGTCCCAAGCCTCTGTTTGTCAGAGGGTGGAGATGGA